ACCCAAGAGTGCGTGGCTGTGCCTGTGTGAGCTCATTCCCTTGCTCTCCTCCTGCTGCTCCTTCTGCTCAAATAGATGGGGCCAAAACATGTGGCTGTGGACAGGCACTCACTGCTTCCTTCTCGCCCTTTCTACTGGGACAGGGTATAGAGCAGCTATTTGACGGTGCCAGCAAATGTCAGCACATGCCTCTGCCAACTCTTCATGCATTTGCTCTTTGCTGCTGTGCTGTCTTGGCTCTCTGCATGGTGTGGTCTGTGCTCGCCTTGATCCAAGGCTGCTCCTTTATTTGAGGCATGGGGAGTTGTAGTCTTAATCAGCAGTGGATTTTCTATTTGAGGGAGAAGTGTGGCTTTCAGGAGGAAAATACATTTGAAAGGTGATGCAGGCTGTTGATAAGGAGAAGGATGCTCAGTGCTGCTGGCTCCTTACCTGCCCCTTGGCTATGCAATTGCTGAGGGGAGCAGATCTCATGGGGCTGTTCTGGCTGAGCTCTGTGTTGTGCTTGTCTCCCTCTGGCTGCTGCAGTGTATGGAGTCCCAGGGGAAGTGCTTGCAGAGAAGAGATGTGTGCACCTGTCAGAGCAAGGCAAAGCTGCTCGGTGTCCTGAATATCAAACAGCAGGCTGGTGGGCTCAGACTGATGTTGGCTGGTGTGCTGTTGGGCAAAAGTGCAGCTGTCTTTGGTTTTCTTGGTGGCCCAAATACATTGTAGGGTGAGCTGAGGGGCTTGCAGTGTTCAGGATGGCCGTACTGATAGTGCTGCGCCCATTTATAAGCTGGTGGTATTTGATTTTCTTCCCAAAGAATAGGCTGGGTCTGCTGGAGAAGAGTTAAGGAGCGCTATTCAGTGTACAGACCCTATTTGAGCAAGCCTGGTGCTGTGGCCTTGGAGAGAGTGTGGGTTATAATGGGATATGTTGGCCTCCACTCTGTGGCAATGCATAAGGGCATGGGATGGGAAGTCCTATGATGGACGTCAATCTTCAGATCCTGCCTGCTGTGGCTGGGTCCTTGGGGATGAGGCTGTGGCTGGTGATGGCTACTGTGCCCTCAGCCATAGAGTTATGGCTGCCAGCCCCTAATGGGATGCTGTTCCTCTTGGATGCCTCCAACCCTTCCTTCCCTGAGGAAGTAGCTGCTCAGAGCAGAAATAACCCTTGTTACCTTGAACTCAAAGATCCACGTTTGCCTGGCTGGTATAAATAGACCATGTGAGGCAGCCAGATGTGATGGAGATTGACAGGTTGTCTCTGGAGTTTTGCACTTGCTGAGGCAGGAGGAAATGTAAAAGCACGGCTGTGGGGATGTGTGGAGTGAGAACAGCAAATGAAGCCCCTGGCTGCACTGAGGCTGTGATGTGCACCAATGGGGGATGCAGGTGGGAGCCCTTCATGGCCTCATGCAGGCAGCAGTGCCCCAAAACCTCCCCAGCTTCACATCGTGTGTAGAGGAGTGCTGAAGCAGGGCTTGCATGTAGACGATGATTTCTAAGTACTGTAGCAATGTGATAACAAAGTTTTCTTGCAGGGCAGTAACAGGAAGGTATGAAGTTCCCGTTCACTCACCAATTCCCCCACAAACCCTAGAGCAAGGGATGCTTTTGACAGCAAAGATCCAAATGACGATTTCTTTGCATCCACCTTCCCAGGAATATTTTGCTGCATGCTTTTCCATGACGCTCCACCACTGACCTTTCTGCTCCAGCAAGGGGGGCAGTCGGGAAGCACATAGGCAGTGATTCTTCCCCATACAAAGGCCGGGATTGTTGGCAGCTTGACGCCCTAGAAAGTGTCTAATTGACTCGACTCTCTCTTGCTGGGCTCCGAATGGATTTTCTGCCTCAGGATATCTCGGCATTATAGTGGACCTGTTGTTTTTGCTCCTTGTGTGATATTAAAAAGTGCATTGTTGGAGCAGAAAGCCTGAGTCAGAGCGGATGTGTGTGGAGAGCTGCATGTTGCCTTGCAAAAAAGTGCCAGGGCAGAGGAGCAGAGCATGGTGGGATCCCCTCCAGCTGCTTTTAGGAGCCAAAAGTTGCTTGGAGCTTCTTAGAGCATGTCTTTTGGCTTGATGCTTAGATGACAATATTCAGAGATGGGTGGATGGAAATCTGTGTGTTCACTGCACTTTTAAAAATTGATTTCTGTACCTTTGCTCACTGCAGTGCAGGCTTGGCTCTGGGCGCCCTTTGGGCTGGGCAAAACCTTCTTCAGGTGCCTCTGTCACCCTGCCTTCTGGCACCAAATTCTGGGATCATCTCACCTGCATCTGTGTCCAACAGCATCCGTGTGGGGAGGTAATTCCTGGGAGGAGTGGGCAGCTGGGACCTGCACCAGCTAAGCTGCTGGAGGAGCTTAGGCAGCCCTAAGAGGATTCAGTGACACCACTGATTAGCATCGAGGGCCTCGTTATGGTGGTGGTAATTGAACGACTCCCAAGGTTCAAACAGACTGGGAATTATCTGCCTCGGAGGCTGTATGGGACGGGGTTTTCTGCAAGGTAGGCTGTGCCCTGCGTGATGCTGAGGATGATGCCTGCTGCTCTCTGGATCCTGAGCTGCAGCAGGTGCTGGCCTGTGGGCAGGGGATGCATGGCAGGAGGCAGCTGGGGAGGAGGAGAGGGCAGGCTGTATGGCTGCAGGTGAGGTGGTGCTGTGGCCCGACTGTGCTGCTGCTGGTAATTGCATTAGCCTGGTGGGGCTCCAGGGCTAATTTCATTAGCTTGGTGTCTGTGGTTATTGCTTTGCTAGAGGGTAGCGGTGAGAAAGGGCAGGGCTGGGTGGGGAAGGGCTGATGCAGGAGCTCCCTGCCTCTCTAAGGATCATAGTGGCTGAATTGACTTATCCATGTCTCTGTGATGGGTTGATGGTTGGACTAGTTGATCTTAGAACATCTTTTTCAACCTTTATGATTCTGTGACTCCGTGCCAGTACCAACAAGTATGGCAGATAGATGACACTGGGACGCTCCATTAATAAACCTAGAGAAACTCTGCTTCAAGTCCCTGTTCTGGCCTGGGGGAGGCATCTGTGTGTCCTCCCCAAGAGTTGTGTGGGGAGGGCTCATGGACACCCAGTCTTGTACCCCTACTGCACCTTGGCTGCTGTCTGAGGGGAGCCTCCACCTCTGCCACCCACACCTGTGAGCATTGGCTTTGAATGCCTACAGCTCCAAAGCACTGTGATGGGAGAGAGCTGCACGTGCAGTTGTAGAGTTAGGAGGGCTGCAGCCTTTTTATTTATATCTGCTGTTTCTGTAAGTATGACCATGGTTTGCGTCTGCCTTTAAACAGAAACAGGATAGGGGAAGGATGGGATTCTTGGTCATGTTTGGGGGTTTCCTGGCTCAATCCAGTGTTTGGAGAATGGTAATCATATTTAGTCTCTTCTTTCCTGGTTCTGAGATGAAGTGGGATAAGATTATTGCACTTTGGACCTCCACTGTTTAGGTTTGGCTCCACAGACTCAAAGGCTGGGTGAAGCTGTGCTAAATCTTCTGGATGCTGTCCCAACACGTGCTGCAGTACGGTGACTGTAGAAAAATTATGGGCACCTGAGCAAGGCAGGGCCCAGTGCCATGTTAGCATCTCATCTGGCAGGAACCAGCACTCTGCTCTGACCGATGGCTGTTGGGAGCACTGTGTGCCATCTGGGTGCAGTGTGGCAGTGGTTTTCCTTCGTGGCAATCATAATGTATTCTTTTACGTAACAGGAGGGGAAAACCAGAAAACCTTCAGGAGCACAAATGGTGACTTCTGCTGTGTCTTGCAGAAGCTGAGGTCCCACAGCATTTGTCAGGAGAGGATGAGCTGGTTCCTGGAGCCTGTCATAGACTGAGCCGTATACAGGGGCTGGAGGCTCTCCCTACCCCAAACCCACTTGTTCCCCAAAATGAATTGCCTGATGCTTGCTTATCTTGATGAGGGTTTTCTTTTGGAGGTGCTCGGTGTGCATGTGCTCTGCAGCACTAAGCACTCACTAACCCAGATCTGCTAAAAATCAATAAGGTAATCCACTTACAGCCTGGGACTGTGGCCTTTTTAGGGAGCTCAGGGCTGTTTTGTTTTCTCTCTCATTTCTTGTAAACTGGAAGAAAGGAAAAAGGGACGTGGTGCTGGCTGAGCCGTGCTGCACTCGGGCTCTTTGCTCTGGGCAGATCAATAAAAATAATTCCCTACTAAAATGTCATTAGCATGGAATTAAAGCTGCTGAGATCCCGTGCTGTGGGTAAGAACTAACGCTGCTGCTAAACTCAGCACGCTGGGTGCTTAAAGCGCAAAGCAGCTTTGTTGCTCACACCTCCTGGTCCCAGGGCAGCCAGATCCATCCTGTGCAGTAAGGGCATAGCCTTTGGGTTTCCCTGGGCAAAGAAAAAAGAATGCATTTATGAAGCAGGCTGTTTGTTGGTGGTTTTTTTTTGATTGAGAAATGTTTATCAGACTTGTTGCAGAGTGGTGAGAGGGGGGGAAGCTTTTCCTGCTGAGAAATCCAATTTTCCATCTGGAGATGGGAAGAAGCCACCTTGCATCCCACTGCTCTGCTGCTTTCTGGGTCTCATCTGCAGGGCCAGGAGCATCCCTGTAGCACTGTGTGTGACATAGCACTGCCTGTGTTAGTGCCCTGTGCAATGATGTGGTAAGGACGCTGATGTTTGCACGTGATGCTTTATGCAGCGCATGTGAGCTTTTCTTAGTTATTTTGCCCCTTCCAGCTCCATCCTATGTTTCCTGGGGTGGCTGCAGTCCAGCACCCTGCATCTGGATGCTGAGAGTGAAGATGGAGTGAAGCTTCTCACGGGGCAGGAGCACGATGCTCCGTGCCCTGCACAGCCCTGTTCCCGAAGCACTCAGACAGCATCCTTTTTGCATGGCAGGAAAACACCTCCACATGGCTGGGGCCGGCATAACTAATGGTCTGCATCGAGCCTTCACTGGTGGGAAAGCAGAACAGCCCCCTCCTTCTTCACGATGCTCCTCCCCTAAACAAGTTAACCTCCCCTCCACCTCTTAATTTCTGTTCTGTACCAGAGCCAGCATGCATCCAATTGCGTCTTAGCCGAGCGGTTATGCTACCGGGACGCTCTGCCGTGAATTCTCAGGGAGCTCGGGTAGCTGAAGGCAGGAGCCGGCCCTGAGCTGCTGGGAACGGGAGCGAGTCTCATCCCGGCCGACAGCTGTTCAAAGCAAGGATGGGACCGAGGGAGGAGGCAGCTGCTCCGCAGCCCTCCGAGAGCCCCCGCAGAGCCGTGCCCCGAACCGGGCGGGCAGCACCGCGCTCCGGGCAGCTTTGAAGTGAGAGGAGACGGTCGTGTTTTGAAAGGCGAGAGATGAACTGAAGATTAAACATGTATGGGAATTATCCTCACTTCATTAAGTTTCCTGCGGGTTTTGGCAGTGAGTATTTTCCTTGTGTTTGCAATCGGTGCCTGCGGGGTGAGATAGAGAAACTGATCCCGCGGTGGGAGCGCGGGGAAGGAAAAAGGGACTTTAGAAATGTGTTTAGCCTCTCCTGTGTGTGGCTGTAACCTCCAGAGCCTGCGTGCTGCTGGTTCAGGTTGTCCTGTGATTCTGGAGTGGATGTGTTTGTGTGATGAGCTGAACCTATTGAAAGGACAGGATCTAACTGAGGAAGCATCTTCCCATCTGCATTTTTATTTTTATTATTGGGTTACTGGAGGAAAAGAAACATCCAATGCTTTTTCAGACATAAAACAGCCCCCATCCTGGCCCAAGGAAACCTACAGAGGGTTCTTTCTGTGCCCAGTGTCTGCTTGCTGCCCTACCTACATGGAGCTGTGCCAAGTCAACTGAATGGGGCTGGGAACACAACAGGGCTCTGCGTGCCGGTGGGGTTGGAAGCAGCATTGGTCCCCTCCACACCAGCAAGACCCTAGTACAGAAACCAGATCTGCTCTTAGGAAAAAGTCTGTGCTGTTCCAGAGCGCACTTACTGTCTTTATCCGAAGTGATTTCCCTTATCCTAACTTGAGGGGAATGAGGGGGGGATTAATATGAAGGGCTGTTGGATGATGTCTCTCTGCTGGAGATGAGGTTTGGGCAGGGGTTGGTTTGCATGTGGGTTGTTCCGACTATGTATAATTTTCTGTCTTGCTGTGGATGCTCATCTCCAGTCATCCTCCATGTGCAGAGAAGTCACAGGTATAGAATCACTTAGGTTGGAAAAGACCTCTAAGGTTATGAAGCCCAACCACTGGCATAGCACTATAGCCAAGTCTACCTGTAAGCCATATCCCTAAGCACCACATCTACACAACTTTTAAGTAACTTGTAGGGATGATGACTCCTAAAAGTGCATTTTTAGCCCGTTGCTACAGGAAACAGACTTCTTGTTGGAGAAATCTATTGCTCACTGGCGTTCTTAAAGAACAAGAAAAGCAAAGCCAAACTCCTATTGCTGCAATAGGAGTGAAACAATGGAAATGTTGTGTTTAATTCCTTGAGTATTACGAATATATGAGGAGACATTCAAACTGCTCTTTGTAGGAACCAGGCACAGATCCCTGTAGGGATAGGGGTCACAGTGCTCTGCAGAGCATTTGGGAGGCTGCTGGGTGAGGGATATGAGAGTAAGAGGCATTTCTGCTCCACCAATGGAGACTAAGGCACCAAGCCAGCGTCACAGCTGCAGTTCAATATACCAGGATGTTACCTTTCATTTAAAAGTGCATTTAACTGATATTTTAACTTGGTTTAGAAAAACCAAGTTTGTGTCAGAGAATGGATGGACACACTGTTAATAAGCATATTATTTGCAGTGAGGAAAAGAAAGCTCTGACTGTGTAGTACTGTAGAGGAGAGCAGAGTAGCGGTGTTACTTTGGGTTAGTCACACTTGCACATCCAAAGTGGGAGAAGTGATTTAAGCAGATGGGTTTGCCTTCTCAGCCTGGGTTTTAGGAACACAGAAAGTGTTTCAAAATGTGGTCTTTTTCCCCAGAAGGATGCATTTCATCTTGTGCCCTGCTCCCAGGGCATGGAAAGATGCTGTGCTGGTTTGTCCCCTCTCGGAGCACTCTGGCACAGTTGGTTAGGGACAAGAACTAACTTGGCTCCTCCACAAAGTCTCTTTTATGAGTACTCATGTAACTTGGCCTGCAGCCACACCACCTCTGGCTGCAGTCTTGTCAGCTCTCCCAGGCAAAGCAGGGTTAGACCGGGTTGCTTGGTGGCTTGGGAGAGCTGTAGAGGAAAATCCGTGCTGTGGGCTGCATGTTTGGTTGGCACCCTTGATGGACCCAGGTTTTGGGACCTCTGGGCTGCTTTTCCTTTAGGTGCCACAGCTTGCCATGTCCGAACCTGCAAGTCCTTATGTGAGTGTGGCAAAGGGGTCTCTGACCCAACAGGAAAATGTGTGAGAAAATCCAGCGACTGGGCAAACTCCTGCAGCCCAGTGCAGAGGTTTTAGTTGTGAACGTGGGAAAAACCCATCCTCAGTTGCCTTCACAGAGCCACAGATCCTGAAGTCCTTGAGGTGCTTTCTGATGGGGACTTCTCCAGGAGCTCAAGGACCACTGTAGGAATTCACGTGCATACTTTTTTTCTTGGTGGAATCTGTGCTGGAGATCCCTCTGGTCAGGTGGGAAATTTGATCAGACCATCACATAAAGCACTCCAAGCCTCAAATTCAATGACTTCTCTTTCTTTGGGAGTGGAAGACTTTTTATATCACTCTCATGCACTACGGTGGTCACCTGGGGGATGTGATACTTTGTTAGGTTGAGTGAGGCTTGAATCTTTATTTTAAATACCTGACAAGCAGTTGCTAAGGGACTCTTTGGCTGGGAAGATACCCATAACGTAGAAATACCCTGCAATGAGTGGTTCCCATCAAAGTCATGGCAAAACATGTGTTGACATCTGTGGGTTGTTTTCCCTCCTTCCCCTGGCTTGGTTTCTCGAGGAGGAGAAGAGCATGCGATTACACCGCAGGTGTGTGTTGTCTAAATGTCTCTGGGCATCTTGAACTGTGAACACACCGTTCAATTTCAATCAAATCAGACGGAGATCTTAAAGTGGCACCTGATGCCAAGTCTGCCAAGCTGCAGAATTATAAAGGTTGGAAAAGACTGAGATGATCTTGTCCAACCATCAATCCAACAAGCCAGGGGAAAGCCTCATGTGCATCCACCAAAGTGCTCCTTGGGGGCTAGGTTTTAGGTGGCCTTGGCTTGCAAAGCAGCAGAGGAGTCATATAGCTTACAACCAGAGCTGTTGGTGGCAGCTCTTTTCACCACCCGATGAGCAGAGGGAATATCTTGCATGTTCCTCTCTGGTCTTCTGCAGATCCCCACTGCAGATCTCTCTACTTGCCTCCAAAACTTTTTGTTCCTCTGTGATGTTAGCTGTCAGGGGAAGGCTGCATTATTTATTGACTTGCAGAACAGAAGGCAAAGATGGGAACACAAAGGTTACTGAACCTTAAAAGCAAGACAAAACCAATAACCTTTATGCAGGATATCAGCGTGGGGAAACATGCTTGGACAGTTATAAATATCACCAGAAAGGGAGTATTTTTTTGTATTAACTTCCATATTTAAATAGCAGCAAAGATTCGATTCCAGCTAACAGGGAGTCCTTGCTACATAACTGCATTTCATTTCAGTGTTTCTCACAGGTATGTCACTGAGAATGTTGTCCCCAAGGACGATCCTCCCTCCAGTCTGTCTCCCATACACCCCATGTTCCAGTGCTGAAGCCCTTCCCTATTTGGTGTTCTTGGGTCTGTGGAGGAGAGGGAGGCAGCACAGCTCACACCTGTGATCCTTCATGCCAACCTCTGTGCTTATCTGGGGCCTCAGAAGCATAGGCATATTCTTTGCTATTCACACAGTTTGTTCTGCCTCTTGATTCTCTGATGCCTAAAGAACAAGTGGAAAGACTGAAAGAATGATCATCCCTGGACTTGCTATTTATCTGCAGGTCTCAGGAGGTAGGCTTGCCCTAGGCACTAGGTGCCTAGGTAATAGATTGATGGTTGAATTAGATGATCTTTGTGGCCTTTTCCGACCTTTGTCATTTTATGGCTTAGTGGGCATGGCAGTGGTAGGGTTGGCAGTTGGACTAGATGATCTTACAGGTCTGTCCCAACCTTAATGATTCTATGGTTTCATGGGCATGGTGGGGATGGGTTGGTGATTTGACTTTATAACCTTGGAGGTCTTTTCCAGCCTTCGTGATTTTATGATTCTAGACCATAAACACAATGATCTTTCTCTAATTAACATGGGCACCTTTCTTCTCCTGGCTTTGCTGGACATTAGAGCTGAAGAGGCTTTAATCAGTGCAAACTTACAACTGCTGCAGTGGCTATGAGGTAGTGTGTAAGGCTTGGATGTTTCTAGTCTGCGTTCTCTTTCCACTTTTTGCTCAAACACAGTTGGTGAGATTGGTGTCTCCTGCTGTTTCTTGGGTGAAAATCAAGATATCTTCATGCGTAGCAGACTGGGCACTTCTCTTCCTGCTGCTCTTGCCAAGGCTCTTGTGGTCACTTGTATGCTCTTATCCTTCCTTCCAGACATGATCCAGCTTTCCCCTGGGAAGTGCTCACAGCCCAGATGTTCTAAGCTGGCTTCACTGAGCCAGTGTTAGTCGTGGAGTAGCGTTCTCCCAGGCCCAGGCTGCTCAGCACTGATGTATGGGCTCTGCATCTGTGCCTGTGATGGAGATAGCATTTCTATATTCCCATTTCTATGAGGCTGTTCATGCAAAGCTCCCACCCTTGGCCAGGATTTTGCAGTGGTGGAAGAAGTGAGGAATCAAAGCTATGCAGTGTCCTTGCTTATCTCCTCTCCTTCTGATGAGGGGCTGCCCTGTGCTCCTCAGGGCCCCTCCAGAGCCAGCCAAGCCCCCAGCGCTGCATGTCATCTTGCATTACCTGATGGGCAGGCTGCAGACCCACCGTGGACTGTGTAAATGTCACCTGGGTTGGATTCTGACACAGAAGCAGCTGTGGCTGGCATACTGGGCTGGCTCCTGGCTCTGTGGTCCCCTCTGTGTCATCCCACAGATGCGTCCCTGTGGAGCAGCTCCTCCCCAGAACCACTGCAGCACGGATGCTTCTGTTCATCCCCATGTGATGGGAGAGAATATCTCGAGGGAAGTCCTCGCAAGACTTTTGAGTTAGTTTCAGCTGGGAGATGCGTGACACAAATAGTATTTTCTCCAGGATCACTTCATTTAATCTTTCCAAACCATATTTGGCACAAATTAACAAGACCTGTGATCTCTATTTATGCTGTCCAAGTCAGCCTGGGTCCTGGGGAAGGACTGGAAGTCAAAAAAAATCCCAGACCACTGCTTTGGTTTTTGAGTAGGATTTGTATTGTAATTTATTATGGTTAGATATAGGTATTTGTATTTGGAAACTGATGGTTTTGGCCAATGTATTTGTCCCAGCTTCAGAAGGACAGTTTAGCCAGTGTGGGAACAAATGCATTGCCTTTAGGGGGTGTCCTTGGCCATAGCATTCTTGCCATGAAAACAAGTATGCCATGGGGCTGGCTCTGGAAAGCAGTCTTCTTTGCCAGAAAGCCTTCACAGAATCACAGAATCACAGAATTGTAGGGGTTGGAAGGGACCTCCAGAGATCATTGAGTCCAACCCCCCTGCCAAAGCAGGTTCCCTACAGTAGGTCGCACAGGTAGGCATCCAGGCAGGTCTTGAACATCTTTGCATCTTCCTAAAGCTTGGATCCTTTCTAATACAGAACAGTGTTTCCCTTAGGTCTGGTGTAAAAACGAACAGATAAAATACCTTTCCTGTGAGTCCTTTCTTAGTGACTTAAATTTTCTATGTGATACTTTGAAAACGCCCTTTTCTGTGTTATGGAAAAGGATGAAGAATTGTCCCTCTTCTCCTTAGCTACTCTGGTGTGGAAGACCTCTGCCCCATTTCTCTTTTATTGGCTGATTTCCTAAGCTGAAGAGTTCTGAAAAGTATCTCGCTGTTTAAAGCAATATGAAAGGCAATTTGTTTATAAGCTTGTGTATTGATGCTGGGGAGGGGCCCTCCAGCAGTAGGATGGAGCCCTTTGCCTGGGCACTGCCTCCAGGCCTTCTGCTTCTGTGGTTTTGCTGGCTTCCTCTTGCCTCACGTGTCTTTCCACTGGGAGAATTGATCCAAAAAGCCAAAGCAAGAATTGACAAAGACCTTTTCTCCCCCACCCTCTGCAGAATTAAGTCTGAAGTGGGTTGATAACAGCAGATCGAGTCCTCCTTGACTCTGACAAATGTCTTTAATGTTATTCAGCAAGCTGACCTTTTCCCGTCTTTATTGTGCATCTTCCCTTTGAATCAGATTTGATTGTTACTTCAGGTAAAATAACAAACACTGTCACGTAAATAACTTTGCAATAATGTTAAAAGGATGGGGAGGAAAAAAAAACAAAAAACAACACAACACCAAACCTCTGCCTTAACTGCAAACGCAACGGGAACAACCATCCTCTTTGCCAGCTATGGAAAACCAACTGTGTGACATTGCTACACCACACCTTGCCTTTGCTGCTCCAGGGAATGGTCGCCTGTGTTGAAAATCCAATAGAGAAACAATGGCTCATTGAAATGTTAACGAAAGCCAATGCTTACTAGGGTTGCTAAATTCTAGGGAAAGGGGAAAAAAGATTGTATACATATCTTTAAAATGCAGCTAGACCCTTTGACATTGGTGGGCATTTAGTGTCAAAATAATCTCTGAAGAGGGAAGATGGATCTTGTAGAGCTGAGTTTCTTGACTCCAGCGTCTTGAATTGGAACTGGAGGAATGCGTGAAATAGCGTGGTGGAGAGGTATGTGGGTGGGAAGGGAAGAGCTGAGCCTTGGGGAGGGGAAGATGAGCCATCATGGGACGTGAAGGAACGTTGCAAAGCACAGATTGCTGTGTAGGTTCCAGCCTGGCTGCTGGGGATTTCTTGGCTTCAGAAATGCTCTGCCTCCAGAGCTGGTTTGAACAGCAAATGTGAGACCTCGGGGAATAGAAAGTCAGCCTGAGGCAGGCAAACAGCAGTGCCTTTTTCCAAGTCAGTTAAGGCACCAACGCAACGCAAGATTTGATTATTAAACATTATCTTCATAATATGTTTTGTTGCTGTAGGTAACCTTATTTCCTGTACCATAAACAACATTTTGCTCTTTCCCTTTATACAATAAGGCATGTTTGCTTGGCCAGCATCTAAGCTGACACAAGCAAGGCAGACCAGCAGACCGCTGTACAGGCAGGCGCGTCCACATATACCTCATCTCTCCCTGTAGATTCCCCTGTTCACGCCAGCTCCACGTCTGTGAGCCCATCATCCAGCCTGTCAGTGGGGAGCACAGTGGACGGACATCACAACTACCTCGAGGCCCCCACAAACGCCTCCCGGGCGCTGCCATCCCCCATGAACACCATTGGTTCTCCAGTGAATGCGTTGGGCTCACCCTACAGGGTCATTGCATCCTCCATTGGCTCGCATCCTGTTGCTCTGTCCTCCTCTGCTCCGGGCATGAACTTTGTGACCCACAGCCCACAGGTATGTAGATGGGCATGCTGGCTTCATCCCCAGTTCCTGGTGCTCAGAGGCTGGGTGAGGACTGAAACTGAAGGGTGTGGGCTGGCTGGTGGGGAGTCCTTGGTGTATTTTGTAGATTTGATGTAAAGAACAATTGCCAGCGTGTGAATCTTCCTGATTAAATCACCTTGACACAGAACATACCTGTTTATATTTCACAGTGAGGGGGGGAAGATGATTCTCACATCTTATCTTATATAGAGGCAATCCCCTCTGCTGCGTCTGTGGCCATATGGGTAATTATTGAAATACATGTACAGTATAATAGGAAATAGTCATTCCCATTCCTCCAGAAAAAGGGTATCTGCTATGTTTCATTATATGGAAAAGATGCAGACTTTCTAGAGAGACAAATGTTAATGCTAAATGCCAGCCACGTAGTCCATGCTGCGTGCAGACTTTGCCTGAAGAAAAATGAAACACTCCCATCCTTACTGCCTGAGCTCACTCAAGGGCTGAAGTTCCTCTCCAGGTAAAAGGGGATCCCTGGGGCTGGGGTCTGTGTCCCCCAGGGACAGGCTGGGGGCTCTTTGGGTGCCTGTGCAGGGCAAGGACCCTCACACCACCCAGCTGTTTCCCATTGACCAGGCAATTCCCATTGCCCATGATATGCCAGGCAGGTGCTTGATGGTGGCGGAGCTGGTGGCAATGCTGGCTGCATGGAAAACTTTTCCTCTGGGTCTGGGGATGCTCCAGGAAGCAGTTTTCCCCAGTCCAGGAGTTTCCCCATGTTACCAGCTCTGAGGAGAGTTTTACTCACATTGTCTCTAATTCAAGGAGACAGCTGGGCTTTGGGGATTTGGCAGGGAGGCTGCTAATGGATTTGGGTTCAAGTAGTTGTCCCAAATATCATACATGATTGCACTTAACCTGCAGGAGCCAAAGCTCCTAGACACTGATGGCTAAAACTGTCCCAATTCTCCCCCTGCGTGTATACTGTTATTGTCTGTGAGTGCAGCAGAGGGAACAGAAAGGTGATAACTGAGCTCTGGATAACATTTTAAACCACAAAAAGTTCCTCCTGACTCAGCATCTTGGCAAGAAGTTTGCAAAGTACCAAAGGAGGCTGCGTGCTTGAAGGGAAGGAAGGAGCTGAGTTGGTGGTGAGAAGGATGAGCTGATGGTGGTTTTGGAGAGATGTTGTTTTGCCCAGGCAGCTTGAGAAAAGACATGCTCAATGGCCCTTCATCCTCACAGCCCTGCTGACAACAGCTCTAAAGCAAACAATTATCAAAGGAAGCCCTGGGCAATGTCAGCCTTTGGTTTCTGATCGATTCAGTTTGCAGCCTTTAACTTGCAGCAGCCACGAGCAGCTCCTGGGAATCTCAGCTGGAAGCTCTGGGCTGTTGGCCTGCATCTCAGTGCAGCTCGTTTTAGATGTCCTGCTTACTCCCTTCTCAAATCTGGTAACCCCAAATCTGCTCTGTTCTCCAGCTTGTGATTGAGTTTGGAGTGCCAGGGAAGGACTGGGATTGCCATGTTTTCATGCAGATTTGCACATTGTGAGCCACAGGCAGCTTATGACCAGCATTCCCCAATGAAGGAGGCAAGATCCCACCAGTGCTGTTGTTCAGGGGCTGTAACTGAGCAGCTGAGGGTTGCTGCCTACCATTTTCCAACTCTGCTTAGCTTTTGCTTGCTGCAACCTTTTGCTTGCAGCATCATGGTGAGATAAGGGTTGATTTTTGCTACTCAGCTTCTGCTTAAATCCCTCCAGCTGGATTCACCAGAGCATGTTGGTCTGCCCACGGGCTGTGGACGAGCTTTGGGATGAGCCCAGTCTGAGCACTGAAGAAACACTCAACTCAATTTCTCTGGGGTACAGAGCTAAGCTATCTCTTTGCCTTCTCCTTCTACAGCTTGATGTGCTCAACAATGTCAGCAGCTCAGAGGACATCAAGCCCTTGCCAGGTCTTCCGGGGATTGGCAACATGAATTATCCATCCACAAGCCCAGGTTCCTTAGCCAAACACATCTGTGCCATCTGTGGGGACAGGTCCTCAGGTAGGAAGCGTCCTTCCTCAGGGAGGGCTTTGTACAATGACAGCTGCCCTGATGCCTTGAAGGCTTGCATAGCAGTGAATGTTGTCACCAATCTGTGAATGCTGAGGTTGCGCTGGTATCACAGGGTTCATGGCTGGGTCTGGCTTACCTAAGGGCAGACTCTTCTCTAGGTACCATCTCATTTCATACCTTTAACAAAGGTAAAACATGAAAATCATGATGTTCTTGTTTACCTGTGCTCTGTGCTAGCTTCTTTGTAGCTGTTCTCAGGTTATTTCTCCTGCCCAGAGTCCTGCAGCCTGGCTGAGCCTGGCAAACCCCACCATGTCAGTGCACCCCAATCCTGGCTCCCATCCCTCTGCTGGGATGCAGATGGATATGGTCTTTCCTTATAATGGGAAAGTGATAGCATCACCCCATCCTCCTTGACAAACCAGCCCTGTCAAGTTGACTTCCTGCAGGCTCTTCCTTCACCTCTGAGGTCAGTCTGACCTCATCCACACTGACAGCCTGCCCTCACCTCCCTAGGGAAGCACTATGGGGTGTACAGCTGCGAGGGCTGCAAGGGCTTCTTTAAGAGGACCATCCGGAAGGACCTGATCTACACCTGCCGTGACAACAAGGACTGCCTCATCGACAAGCGCCAACGCAACCGCTGCCAGTACTGCCGCTATCAGAAGTGCCTCGCCATGGGGATGAAGAGGGAAGGTACACACGGGCTTGGAGACTTCTTTACGTGTGTGCTCTGGGCATGCAGCTTTGGCCCATTCCCCATAGCGCGATCAATTCTGCGCTGCCCCAAGCACTGAGGGAGGCTGGGGGTTGTATAAGACCAGGCTTGTTACAAAAACCCAATCTCAGGCACTTCCTGCCAGGTGCAAAGTGGTTTGGAGGACCATGGAGTCAATGCGACTTCCCTTCACAGAGCGTGAAAATGCAAACCCCAGGCTGCTGGTGGGCAGTGTGAGGACAAACCTGTGCTGGGAGCATGTAACATCCTCCTCCTAGCAGCAGTTATCTAACTGAGGATATGAGGATCGAGCTCTCAGGCAGCCTTAGGGCTTGTTGGAGGCTTGCAGAGCTGTTCCCTTCCTCAGCATCCTCTGTCCTCCTCCCATGGGACTTTTATCCCCTCAGTTTCATGGAGATGCCTTCCCCACTCCTCCAACTGCTGACTGCTCAAGGGGAGAAGTCATTAAGTTGCTCAACAGAAAACACCAACATTTGCATAACAGGGGCTGGCTTTGTATCCAACTTCTCCCCAGTGAACCTTTATCACTTCATGGTTATAAATGCCAACAGCTCTTTATTCATGACTCGCCCAGCCCCCCACCTTTCCTTCAGGGCTTACTCTGCATTTTGGTACCCCAACGGTGCTGTGTGGTCATACTGAGGCAGCGATGCTGGCTAGCAGGGCTGTTCTGCTCTTTTGGTACTCTTCTCCCCAGCAGTGAGTTAAACTGATGTGACACCTGCTGGTCACTTGCCTTTCCTTTCTCCCAAAGCAGGATTTTCTTATGGGTTTGTCAATACAAAATTGGCATAAGACTTGGAATGCTGTGTGTACACATCCTACATTGACCTGTCCTCCACACACCCAGCAGCCCTGGGGGTGAATAACTGATACTTCACCCATCAGCAGATATCTTGGGAAATGATAGAAGAGTGGGAGAGCTCCAAGCTTGCAGCAGGAGGGGCTCCCTGCATCAGTCCATGCCCTTATAGATGTGGAGGCCCCAGTTTGGCTCAAGAATTAGGCATGCAGCAAACCTTAGTGGCTGGGAGATGGAGCAGCTTGTGACCACTGAGCTCAGGCTGCCACCTGGAGGCATTACCTCCTTCTTCCTCTCTGCTGGAGTTTGGAGGTCAAGTTTGGAGACCACCAGTCTGCAGCAACCCCGACGTTATTGGAGGGTGACGAGGACAGAGCGGTGATTGTGCTTTGGTTGGACTTACCTCAGAAGTATCTATTTATTTTCTCCTTCCAAGAGAGTTCCTCAACCAAGAGGAAAGGAGATGCTTAGCAAGCAGCTGAATGCTGCCTGGGTGTAAAGAGCTGGTTTTTTGTCCCTTAGCTGTGCAGGAGGAGAGGCAGCGGAGCAGGGAGCGCAGTGAGAATGAAGCTGAGTCCACGAGCGGTGGCAGTGAAGACATGCCTGTGGAGAGGATCCTGGAAGCCGAGCTGGCAGTAGAACCCAAGACTGAGGCATACAGTGATGTGAACACAGAGAGCTCAGTAAGGGGCACTGTGCCGTGTCAGTAATGTCACACAGCCTGGGATGAGAGCATTTGAGATGTGATTTGAAGGGACAAAATCCTATGCGTGCTGGGGCTGTGCATCTCTGGGCACAGATTTTCTGCCCCATATCAACCAGGGCTGATGTGGGATGTAAGATCAGCAAGTCCAACCCCAACCCACTCCCACCATGTCCCTCAGTGCCACATCTCCACTTATCTAATCTGAATCTCCTCTGGTGCAACTTAAGGCCAATTTGGCTGAGGAGAAATAATAGTAACAAAAATTTCCTCTCACCAAAAATGCGCAGCTGAGATAACTGGCAATGTGATCACTTTGTTTGTGGCCCTGAGTATTGCTAATGTGATTTGATGCTGTGTGCAGAGTGGGTGGTGACTCTCAAAGATTTTACATTGATTAGTTCTCCCCTTTTCAACCCAACATTGCTGTTCCCATAGACAAACGACCCTGTCACCAACATCTGCCACGCTGCTGACAAGCAGCTCTTCACTCTTGTTGAGTGGGCCAAGCGCATCCCCCACTTCTCCGACCTGACCCTGGAGGACCAAGTCATTCTCCTGCGGGCAGGTAATGTCCCCAACCTTTGCCCTTTTCCTGCTATTCCCATCCCTTCTCTGGGTTGTGTGTTTGTGGGGAACGCGACCCCCTGAGCTGGTCCGTCCCTGCTGTTGGGGCTGGCTTGTCCCAGGCCAGGATAAATGCTTGGCAAAGAGTATAGACAGGGCGCTGGGAATCTGATGTTGAATCAAAGAGCAGAAACCAGCTCCCTGCTCTGTATGGGAATGATGCTTGGCTGGCAGCTGCCCTCTTTATCCCACACACCTCCCTCTTGCAGGCTGGAACGAGCTGCTCATCGCATCCTTCTCCCATCGCTCTGTGTCAGTGCAGGACGGCATCCTGCTGGCCACAGGCTTGCATGTGCACCGCAGCAGTGCTCACAGTGCAGGCGTGGGCTCCATCTTTGACAGGTATGTGGCCAGCTTGTCATCCCCAGCAGCAGGGCCCTGCAGGCTCTCTCCCCTTCCCACTGAAAGGGAATCAGTGATCCCTTCCAAGTAGGGATATTCTGTTGTTCTATGGAGAGCTACAGCAAACCCAGGATGATTTGGGGCAGAATTAGGGGACATTTGATTGGCTTACGAAAAACACAATGGAATGTAATGAAAACACCTTGAAAGGGATTTGCAGCTGCAGAAACATCTCTGTGGGTGGGTGTGTTTGTGCAGGGGGAGGCTGCTTCTCTGCCCTCCCCTTGAAGATTTTGCCATTACTGGATCTAGAGCTAATACTGATCAGCAGAGCTTTAGCTAGCAGAGCCTTAAGCCCCAGCTTGCAGCTTCTGCTCATGTAACAGCCATATATGTACTGTCTGTGCCATGTCTGCTCCCAGCCCAGCAGGATGTGGTGGTGCCACCCTTACAGAAGTGGCATGCAGAGTGCAATGTGGAGGAACACCCATGTGGCTTTCCTCAAACACAAATTGTTCTTCGTAATTCCAGCAGAGCACAGAGCCCATGTGCAGAGCAGAGCAAGAATGGAAGTAAACTTAATGCTCCTGCCTCTGGGTGCTGCTGGTGCTCATATTAAAGAGCAGTGGGTGGCATTGCTGTCCCTTACAGCCACCTCTCCCTGCAGAGAGGAGCTGGGGGGATTCCCAGTGCCCATCCTGGATGATTTCAGCCCCCATTTCTGACTGTCTGCCCACTCGTGTCCCCCACAAGCAGAGTTTTGACAGAGCTGGTATCCAAAATGAAGGACATGCAGATGGATAAGTCGGAGCTGGGGTGTCTGCGAGCCATTGTCCTCTTCAACCCAGGTAAGTTGTGGAGCTGTCACGCAGTGTCACCACCTCTCCCCTGTGCCACTGGATCCCTGGCAGTGACTCTCTTATCCAGACGCCAAGGGCCTGTCCAGCCCCTCCGAAGTGGAGTCGCTGCGGGAGAAGGTCTACGCCACGCTGGAAGCCTACACGAAGCAGAAGTACCCCGAGCAGCCGGGGCGGTGAGTATCCCCTCCGTTCTAGGGCTGAGTTAACCCCAGCGAGGAAGATCCGCAATACAAAAACAAACCACCGCCCGGGGTCGCCCCGCTGCCGGACCGCAGCCTTTGGGATGGCGACGGATCCCTCCCATCCCGGTACAAGCCCACCCTCTGCTGGCTGCCGTGCCGCAATGCCGCTCTCCGGCCCAGGGGCCGCCGGGTGCAGCCGCAGCATCCTCGGAGGTGTGGGGAAAGACGAGAGGGCAGCCCTTCCTGCATCCCTGAACCAGCATGGGAGAGGTGCTCCATGAATGGTTGCAACGGCAGAGAGGAGATGCGAGTCACCGGTTCGAGCGCTTGCTTTAGGGAGAAGCCGGGTTTTACTTTATTTCTTTGATCTTTGAAACATATGGATGCAAAATTCCTTCCCCCTTTTCTCTCCTCCCCTTTCCTTCCTTACCCTTCCCCTCCTACCCCCCTTTCCTCTTTTCTTTTCCCATCCCCACATTAACATGCCCTGGGTTGTAAGATGGATGGACTCCCCAAGGCACCTGTATGTGCTGTGCTCTGCCCTCCCCAGCTCAGGCTCAGAATGGGAGCATGCAGCCAGTGCCTCCCTCACCCCTCTGCCTTCTCTCCCCTTTCCAGGTTTGCCAAACTCCTCCTGCGCCTGCCAGCACTACGGTCCATCGGACTGAAGTGCCTGGAGCATCTCTTCTTCTTCAAGCTGATCGGGGACACCCCCATCGACACCTTCCTCATGGAGATGCTGGAGACACCCCTGCAGGTCACTTGAGGGTCCGGTCCCCCCCACCATATCCCCACACAGCTCCCACTCCTCCTCTCCGGGCTGCAAGAGCTGCCCTCCACCCTCTGCTCCTCTTTGGTGGGATTGTTGTGTCTTTGTACAGCTGTAAATCGTCCTCTTTAACTCACCCCGGTGGGGTTGTTGACCCTCTGCCCAGCTAACCACACACCTCCCTGTACAGATAATTGCTTTAAATTATTTTTTCACTCTCAATAAAAGTCAACAACAACAAAAAAATAATATATGAGAGGTGCTGGTTGGAGCCTGCAGGGCAGTGTCCTGCTTTGCTGTGGTTATGGTTCTGGACTGGGCTGGGGCAGAAGCATCACTTGGGAGTATTGTTGCCTCTGCTGATAGAAGTCTTCCACCAGGATGCCACATAGCTTTGCTTCTTGCTCCTGCTAAGCAAAGAGCTGCTTTGAATCAAAAATAATTCATCTTCACATCATGCAAATAACTCTTGGATATATATTTTTTAATCATCTCAAATTTGAAGTGATTTCGTTCATGTCTTTTTCCTTTCCTGAGCTGGTCCCCATCCCTGCATGGCCTGCACTGGGAGGCAGCTCTCATTCCATCCACAGGTCATACTGCTGGGGAGACAGTGCTGAGTGCCCCATGGGATGCAGAGGTCACAGGGATGTGGCAGGGCAGCAGAAGGGAGAACTTACCTGGGAGTGTTATGGTTGGGGTGGAGAGGTGGACAACATTTCAAAAAGGCTCAGAAATCCCACCTTGGCTGCTCTTAGAGAGCACCATGCTTGTTTACAAACCACAGTGTTTTGGAGGTTGTTACAGCATTAGCTTAGGTTTTATATTTCTAAGATTTGATGGATTCTGTTCTCAAGGTTTTGTTTCCTGGTTTCTTTGGTTTTTCTACCTTTCACACTTAAAACTTGCTATTCAAACCCAAATCTATAATCACACTCATCTTTAAGCAAAGCTTACAGTGCACAAGCAACTCCCAAACTCCAGCTGCGCTTCCCCCAGCCTGCATGGCAGTGCCAGACCTGCCCATCACCAAAGCTAACCAGAGCCAAATGAGTTAAAGACATGAATTTGTTTGATACTTGGGGTTTATCCTGGTGGGAAAACGCCCTCCCAGGAACCCAGCAAAGCTGCCTTGCACTATTATTCATAAAACAGGTGTAGTGTTAAGTGATCTGCCCCTTCTGACCCGTGCATTGCGGTGCGCTGAGCTGCAGCAGGGCTGCGTCTGTCCGCCTGACAGATTGCCACGCTGCGGCATGGGGAGCATCGGGGGAGAGAGGGAGGGATGGAGGGGAAGAAAGAGGGATGCAAAGCAAACAGTTTGATAAAGCTCCCACACAGGGATGTGATTAGTTCTCCGGGATTTTGCTGCAAAGAGGAAGGAGAACCAAAAGAGCAGGAGAAAAGAACGAGATGATAGGAAGAAATTCTTTGCTCGGAGCGGTGAGATGCTGGCAGTGCTGCCCAGAGCTGTGGGTGCCCCATCCCTTCAGGTGCTTCAGGCTTTGCATGGGCCCTGGGCAGCCTGAGCTGCCAGGGGGCAACCCTGCTCACAGCAGGGGGTTGAAGCAGGATGATCTTACAGGTCCTCTCCAACATAAGCCACTCTGTAATAAGGAATTTGGGCTGCATGTGGTACCAGAGAGGGCTTCACAGCCTGCCAAGTCCCATGGGCTATTTATCTTGGCTTGCCTCATGCTGAGCTTGGTCCACTGTCTGAGGAAATCCAGATTGTTGCCTGCAGTGTGAACAGTGCCTTTTGAAGGTGGAGCTTATAGGGGAGGGGGCAGAAAGTCTCAGAGTGACTATGGCTCCTGAGCACCCATGCTCTTGGCAATCTGCATCACGACTGGTGGACCTCAAGTTCCTGCAGTAGGACATCAGTGTGGCGTGGCTGGAGCCTACCAAACCTGAAGCCCTGCAAAAAAAAAACTAGTCTGTGTAAAGTAGTAACAAACACCACACAGGTAAGTCAAAGAAAACTTCCTCTCTTGCACTAATGCTGACCCCCAGCTTGTGTAGCTTTAAAACAGCACATCAAAGAACTCAAAAACGGAGGAAGACCAACACTTGAGCCCCTTAAATGTGGGTGTTTGTCCTTGCACATGTGTACAGTGGTGCCCTCAAAGCCCAAGCATAACGAGGCCTTCTCTGCCTGCTCAGCTGGCTCCTATCTCCTGCAAATTTTGCTCTTCCCAAATCTCAGCCACCACTTTCAATCTCCAATCACTGTTCCCTTGCAGTCTCTCTGATTAAACTCTGATTTTTTTTTCCTTTTCCAAAGTGAGCCATGCTCTGGTGATGGCAGATGCAGTATTGCATTCTCTTTCCCACTGCACATCACATCTCATGAGTTTTCAGAGTTAGCAGCATCCCCCTGCACCATGGGTGAGCTTTGTTTTAGTGCACGTGCCAAACTTTTCAAAGCATTGATTAATTCTCATCTGCTCACTCTGTAGTGCTCCATGGAGGAGGAGTTAAAAAAAATAGTGGGTTGAGCAACTCACGGTGATGACACATGGAAAGAAAAACAAACCATGAATCAATTCCATTACTTTGTCTAAACTGGGTTTGTTTCTCACCCAGTAATAAAGACAGAAGGTTTTCCTGCCCTGTCTGCTTGGGTTCTGATGCAGCTTCTTCATTTGCTGCTGAAATTCAGCAAAACTGGGAAACAGCACTTCTGCCTTGAGAATAAAGGTAAAGAGAGCTCAAGCCATAAAGGTCTGAGCTGGTTTGCATTCAGTTCAGCTCTGGGTTCTGTACTGAATGTGGAGAGCCAAGGTCTCATCCTGCAGACCCCAGGTGACTTCAGCCACCCACCCCCTGCCCCTAATGGGATGCAGGGATCTGGCTGCAGTACTCCATCTGCTATGGGGACATTGCTGGAGGTGAGGGTGTGGGTGGGAGGAGAATTGCCAGGTGATGCTTTGAATGCTGTCAGTGGGGGGGGGGGGAAGAGGTGGAGCATTTATCTTTTATGTTTTACTGCTCCACCTGGTTACCACTCTTTGCATGAGGTATGAGGAGCTGCTTTCACTGACCCCAGAGCAGCACCCTTCGTGTCCCTTGGAATAAGGGCAGTTTGCAACATGGGATGCTTACGCTTTGGCTTTCTGCTCCCTGAAGGGAGAGGGAGGGGGAACAAAGCTAGTTTTGCTGTGCCCACACATGTCTCTGCCTCTGTGCTGGGTTTTTGTCCTGGAAGGGGGGGAATGGATCACAGGTGGAGCTGTGCAAACCATAGTGAGACCCTGCTGCAGACCTCTGGTGATACGTGCTGGGCACATTGCTGATCCCGTATGGACTGAGCCAGCAGCGTGCACAGGAACTGCATGGTATAGCAGCACCAATTGCTCTCCTCACTTGGAGATGGGGAAGGGTAAAGCTGTAGGGTGACAATATTTGGAGGGCATCTTCTTTCCTTTTTTTCTGACATGGAAGGACAGGAGGCTGAGCCCTGTGGGGTGGCTGCACAGGTTGAGGAGTGGCACCTGGAGCCTGATGGCATATGGATAATTGTAGAGTTGGTGGGAGCTGTTCTGAGACCTTCTGGAGAGACATAGGTGAATGTGTCAGAGCTTAGCACTGCTCTGCCACTGCTCAGCTCACAGCTGCTTCGTGCTGACCTGCGTGTGGTACCAGTGCCTTTGTGCCAGGGTGTGCTGGGATGCACTGGTTCTGTCCCAGTACCCCGGGGATGCTGGCAAGGTACTGAGCCACCCATGCTCACCTGTGGCCTCTCCTTGTCTCCAGCTCCCCGAGGATATGACTTTGTTACCCACATCATGAGGACCTTCTGGTGACGAGGATGCACTACTGCTAAGCTCACCAGTGGCCATAGGAGTTGCGGATCCCCTAAAGCCCTCACAAACTCATAACAGCTCCGCAGCTTCCCCTGGGTGGCGACCAGGACGGGCTCAGCGATGGGACAGCGCCGTGGCAGCGGGAAGGCTCCGAATTTCGGCTTCCCGTCACTGGTGGGACCTCTACCCCCCGGGGGGTTCCCCTTCCCGAACCCGGAGTTCTGTCGATGCGGTGCCCGCGACATTCCTCCGCCCGTGGGATTCCCCTCTCCCTCCCTTTTGCCGTTCGTTCTCCTTAAGGGCTGCCCCGGCTTCTTCCCCAAACCCTCATCTCGAGCTTCTCCGCCAACGAGGAGCAGATTTCAGCTTCTTTCGCTACCGGGAGAGCTGCACCGCCCTCCATTCTATTATTATTACCACTATTTTTCTTTTTTGTCTTTTCTTCTTTTGGGGTTTGCTTTCTTCGAAAGCTCACACGTAGCCGGGGAGGGGCCGGGGCCGTCCGTTTGTGCCCCCTGCAGCCGGGCAGCGCTCCGGCCCCTCGAGGCGTGGCGGGGCCGCTGCTGCGGGCGGGCGGGCAGGAGAGCGGGGAGGAAACTTCTTTCGAGTGGGGTGGAGAGGGGAGGGTAAGGGGTGGGGGTCGGGCAGGGAGGTATCAGCTCCGGGAAATGTGTCTTGGCAGCAGTCGGACGGGCGCTTCCCCGCAGGTCGCCGCGTTTCTCTCCGCAGTCGCCCGGGGCTCGGCGGCTCCCCCCGGTTCGCAGCCCCAAACCTCGGGGAGCGCGGGGCCGCCGGGGACCGCGGCTGAGCAACCCCGGGGCGGTGGCTGAAGGCGTGGGGCTGCCCCCCCCTCCATCCCCGAGGCCTCCCCACCGGAGCCGCCCAAGGTAAGCGGCCGAACCCCCGACGGCAGCTTTGAGCACTCAGAACCCCAAGCCCCTGCGATGGTGGGGAGAACGCGGGAAGAGGGTTCGGGGAAGCGACGTGCCCCGGGGCTGCCGTAGCTGAGCGCCGCGTGTCCGGGCTGTGTCTGCAGGCGGGCGGCGCGGCCCCTCGCCCGGCCCGGCTCGGCTCCTCACCATGCTGGACGGCTTGAAGATGGAGGAGACTTTGCAGAGCGCCCTGGACCCCGCCGCCCCCTTCTCCTCTCTGCTGGGTAAGTCGGGGAGACCTAGAGGCTGGAAGCACGATGGGAGGACCCCGGTAGAGTGGAGTCCGTGGGGCTGCTCCGTTCCCGGTTCGCCCCGGCCCGGCGCCGCTGCCCTCGGCCGCGAAGAGCC